CAGGAGTTATGTCGCGACGGAATCGACTGGGATGACCCAATTCCCGAGCAAATTCGACTACGATGGGAGAAATGGCGTAACGACTTACTCTTGTTGAGCGACCTGGGCGTCCAAAGATGCTATCGACCAGATGGATTCGGAGAGCTACAGTCCATCGAGCTTCACCATTTCTCAGACGCGAGTACCTCGGGATACGGTCAGTGCTCGTACCTGCGATTAGTTAACGAGGAAGACAAAATTCATTGTTCGTTCGTCATGGGAAAGGCTCGAGTTTCCCCGTTGAAGAGCGTCACGATCCCTCGCCTGGAATTAACGGCGGCGTTAGTTTCCGTGAAGGTAAGCAACCTACTTCACCAAGAGCTCAATTACGAAGGGATCGTCGATATATTCTGGACGGACAGCAAAGTAGTGCTTGGCTATATAAATAACGATGCCAAACGCTTCCACACATTCGTGGCGAATAGGGTACAACAAATTCGAGAGTGCACTAACCCGAACCAGTGGCGATACATAGAGAGTAAGGAGAACCCAGCAGACGAGGCGTCACGAGGATTAAGTGCCCAAGAGCTGATATCCAACCCTCGGTGGCTATCCGGACCAGCGTTTCTATGGAATCCCGAGATCAACACATCCACCACCGAAAGTCCGCCCCTCTCGGAAGACGATCCCGAAGTTAAGAAAGTAAAATCACTCGCCACGCAAGGAACGACCGAAAACGTGTCAACGATTCTCCAGAGACTTGAATACTTCTCCGATTGGCACCGGGCGAAAAGAGCCATCGCAGTTTGCCTGAAGCTCCGAAAGCGTCTGAGAAGTTGTACGACAGATCGAGAACAAGTTAAATCCGAGACACGCACCAATTCGTATCAGCCGGTAAACGTGGAACAGTTGCGACAAGCGGAAGTAGAAATTATGAAGGCGATTCAAACGGAAATGTTTCCCGTAGAGATGGAACTCCTGCGTCGTTTGAAATCCAACCCCACGAAAAGAGAAGACGTCAAGGATCGTAAGGCAAGCTTAAAGAGAAACAGCGCATTATATCGACTAGATCCATTTATCGACAAAGAGGGACTCGTAAGAGTTGGCGGACGAATCAAACGCGCCGATGTCCCCTTTCACGTGAAACACCCCGCAATCCTACCGAGAAAGGGACACATTACATCCCTCATAATCCAACATTACCATCAACGAGTCAAACACCAAGGCCGTGGAATCACCCTGAACGAGATTCGCGAGGACGGGATTTGGATCATTGGTGCAACTTCTGCAGTGGCCCATCATATCGCCAAATGCGTCACGTGTCGGAAGCTTCGTGGTACCGTATCCGAGCAGAAAATGGCCGAACTTCCCTACGATCGATTGCAACCTGCGCCACCGTTCACCTTCTGCGCCGTTGATTACTTTGGCCCGTGGCATATTAAAGAAGGTCGGAAAGAGCTAAAGCGGTACGGCGTTTTGTTTACTTGCCTATCATCTCGGGCGATTCATCTCGAGACGGCGAAGTCGTTAGAGACGGATTCCTTTATCAACGCTCTGCGTCGTTTCCTGGCTCGACGCGGACCCATTCGTCAGCTCAGATCAGACCAGGGTACAAACCTAGCAGGTGCTCGACGCGAATTGAAAGAAGCCTTGCAAGAGATGGATAAAGAGAAGGTGCGATCATTCCTACTGGAAAAAGAATGCGACTGGTTCGAATTTCTAATGAACGTGCCCTCCAGCAGTCACATGGGTGGTGTATGGGAACGGCAGATAAGAACGGCGCGCAACGTTCTGAATGCCCTCCTCCTCGAAGCGGGAACTCAGTTGGATGAAGAGTCACTGCAAACGTTCATGTGCGAGACAGAGGCTATTGTAAATAGCCGTCCCCTAACCGTGACTAATCTTGGCTCTCCTACCGACGCGGAACCCTTAACCCCAAACCACCTCCTGACAATGAAATCGCGAATACTACTCCCACCACCCGGCGAGTTCCAGCGAGCAGACAAATATCTAGTGAAAAGATGGCGACGAGTCCAGTACCTTGTCAACCAGTTTTGGTCGCGTTGGCGTAAGGAGTTTCTCAACACTTTGCAAGGAAGGCAGAAGTGGAGCAACCCTCGTAGAAACTTGCGTGTAGGCGACATCGTTCTCATCAAGGATGATAACGCGCCTCGAAACCTTTGGCGAAAGGCTCGCGTTGACGAAGTTTACACGGACGAAGATGGTTTGGTGCGAAAGGTCAAGCTTATTGTGGCAGATCCTCTGTTGAACGAACGTGGAAAACGAAGTCGAGTTGCGACCATTTTGGAACGTCCTATTCAGAAGCTAGTTGTACTTCTTAAAGTCGAAGACACGGAGAACGTTGAAGAGTGAAGATTCCCCGACAAGGAGCCAACTGTGAACTATTGAACATTATCGTCGTTGTTATTATATTCAGTTATGTTAGTGGTAAATTATCGTAATAGACAATTTAGGGGAGCCATGTAACTGCGAACCGTATAAGGGCATATTAGTGCTCAGGCCCCACAAAAAACAATACGTTTTAATATACCAACTTGAACTTATGCGAACTTTTGCGAACTGTAGCTTACACGAAGGACTTATCTTAGTGATATTATTGTTAAAACATTCGTTTTACGTCAAGTTTAGACGTCAAGTTTAGACGTCAAGTTTAGACGTATGTAGAAGGATATTAAAGGTTAGATTCAACTTGCGTTAACGACTTACGACTATTCTTTAATCCTGGATGTCTCGTCTTGCTTGTCAGTGTTTATGAACGAATGAACAATCCTAGCACATGCGTCTAATATCACTAACGAAACGCTAGGAGTTACAATTATATTAGTAGGAAATTACACTTGTTCTCGAAGTATTAATGAAAAATCATACTTGTGTTTGGCAAAATAATTATAATATAAATATTTCGCCAAACACGCGTGCGATTTTTCATAATGGTACCTCTCGAGTCGTGTAATTTCTTATACTAATTGGCCCCGCGTTTGCATGTGAGAAGAGTGTTTACAGTCTTCTTTACCAAACCTACAAGTACCAGACCTCTTCTGCACAGATCCCCATGCAACCAGAGATAACTCTTACTGAGCAAGACTGTACTGCATGTTAATTCTTCGGCCGAATTTTTCATACAGAAGTATATCATCCCATACCTCATCCCAAGAAAGACCCTCTTCATCCATAAATACCCTCATCAGCTCCGGGATTGCCAATGATGGATGAGTATCGTTTAACTGGATGGCAACCTAAAACAGATTCTATCATGCAATTACTGTCGAAATATTCTTCAAGAAAACTTTAAATTCATGGAAAAAGAGGTAACTGTGTTACTTTGCAACTTGAACAAACATGTATTCATTTGGGGTGTTTCAAAACCGTTCTTTTAAAATGTTCGAAACGGAAACTGCTCCAAACAAAACTGACCCCTAAAGTACAAGGACGGGTCACACGTGCGATTATCTCTCGCACGGGAAACGCAACGGGTCAAAATTGATCGTATGCCGGTGCAAGAGAAATGACAAAACGTGCAATGATTTGCTCGACTGATAAGACAAGTGCAAAGCCAAGTTTTACAAATCAAGGCCACATTCATGATCTCTTGGCAACATTTAGCGCTGCCTCTTAATTTTAGACACAAGTTTAAAAGTTTGGTTACTGTGAAGTGTGGTTTGATTTGATAGTAATAAATCAATAAATATTATGTAGTCATTATGGACTGCCTAAAGATCCTAACATGCGTTTAAAAGTGTTTCAAAAATTCATTAATGGTTCATGAGGAAAACACAAAGAAAAATTATAAGCGTGTCGTATCTTTATATGTGATAGAGATTTCCCTTGATTTACATAAACTTTAACTTTGATTTTGCAGTTGGAAAGGAAATTTCTTTTGGGAGTGGAAGTACTGGTAGAAGGCAATACTTGTTGTAGCTAAAAACGATATAATACTGTAGCTAGTAGAAGATGGTTACCCTTACCTTATCTGGGAAATTTTGAAAAGATTTTCTCACAAGTTCTCTGGAGCCATATTGAGATGTTTTATAACGTCTAATAATATCTTGTAACGTTGCTGAGACAAGGAAGTACTCTTGCTTTAAACGTAGTTCTTTACCGACGAAAAACTTTAAAAATATACAAAAAAAAGATGATTGTATGTAAATTAAATTATGTCTGTATACATAACGTTTTGAAATAAGGGACCGGTCATTATTTATGGAGGGGCTGGCACCGAAGAGAAATGTTTTTCTTGGCAAAAATATTGCTGAAAGATCCAATTATTAAAAAGTCGAAACCAACCTCAAATATCAATTAACTCACCCCCTGGCCAAAAACCTTTACAAAAGGATACAATTCAGTTGTCGCACATGTCCGTTAATACCACTTCTGTGACATGAGTTTGATAACTGCTTGTGCAATTTTCTACAGTCTAAAATTTCATGCCGTCTGCACATGTACTTTCTTTGGAGACACCATTTGCCTTATGACAAATCGGAAAATGATCAAGGTAGTGACTCTGATTGATTTACATACTGACCGGTTCCAAAAGCTGTTGGTGGACTATTGTCTATTGGCTAGGTTATAGTATACATGTCATGCATGACCCAACTTACGTTGTCATTTGGATACAAAACCCTCGAGATATTCTCAGCATTGTTTCGATTTAGAACAGCACCAATGTAGTCACCACCTTGGACTAAAATTGAAAACCAGATGAAACATTCAAAAACGGACAAAATCGAAAGTGTCAGTGTGTGTTTTATGGAACGCTCAATACACTGTAGAAAGAACGGTAGCATATATTACTTTGCTAGCAATGCTATTAAGATCTACAGTCTGGAAAAAATAGTGAAATCCATGGTCGCGTTTCCACATGGTCGGTTTAAAGCACTCTGGTTCCAGATTATGTAGCGGTGATAACAGATATAGCTGTGGTATGAGTGAGATAAAACTGAAAAATATAGGCTGAACTTCGCCATTTCGAAGGGCCTCCACTCGGACATTCAAATTGCAGCTCTAATGCTAAACTACTGTAGTACTGTACTGTACATCAATTAATAGTTGAAGCCAAGGGTTTTGTAGATGAAAATTGATGAAAATTATCGAGTGTCAATTTTACATACATTTATTGGACCTATAACCACGAACAGCTGCGAAAAATGCAACTACTGTACCTATAGATCAGAGATCAATATAACGGTCGGCCACCGGCCATTAGCCGAGAAAAATGCTGATATGGCCGTCTACTGATTGCTCTGCAGAGACACTATGGACGACCGTTTTGTCTCATCAATTTGAATATTTCTTCCTTTATTGTTGTAAATATTTTTAACAAAATCTGTAATCTTTAACACATGCAAACAAAGATTCCGTCTGCTAGACAATCACAGAATCTGACTTCGTCAAGTTCGTCCCGATCCACAAAATAACAATGTCATCTCGTGTGTTAAGAGAAATATTATATATTATATATACTGTTACTGAGTAAGTTGTCGTTGATATTGTGTAATTTTGTTAACCAATATGCATATGTTTTGGACTTTTGGTAGTTGTTACGGTTTTGGTTTCTAGTACTGTGACAACTGACAACGTCCCTCTTGAGAATAATTAAGTGTCCGATCATGTCCGACCAAAACATGATTGGGTTGATCTGACACAATTTCAAACCAAGTTTTCAGAATTATATTGAACTCTGCTATATAGATGCATTTTTCGTATCTTTAGTTGCATTTTTCACAGCTGTTCCTGGTTAGGTCTAATAAATGTATATAAAATTTACGCTCGATAATTTCCATCTGCAATACCCTTCAACTATTATCGAATCGAGTGAGATGCCAACAAAATCTCGATATCAATTAATCTTACTATTAGGTTGAATTGTGTCCTAGTAATGCTCCCTACTTATTATTTTACTCTAAAGCCCTGATCAAACGAGAACGCAAGTCATCGCAAGTTTGCGCCTCGCTTGCGCCTCGTTTGACCAGCAACTTGCGTTGACTTGCGTTAACTTGCGATGACTTGCGAATGATTTGAACTGGTTCAAACTTCATCGCAAGCTTTTTTAAACTTGCGAGCACTTGCGATAGTTTGATCAGGAATTGCAAGTTCAGAAAAGTTTTTTGAGACCAGTTTCCGTAGAAATCAAAGGAAACCATACTCCCTAGTTCTCTGCTCTCTCAAGATGTTATAAAAATGACCTTTTTCTGATCTTCGCTTAATCCATTGTCTTGTTTTTCCACGTTTCATGCAAGTAGAGAAAATAACACAGTGTTGTTGGCAGCTTTCGCTTCATTTTACATGGCCTTTTCAAAAGTTTTTACATTCGTTTTAAATGGGTTTAAAGGACGGCCATACAACTTTGCAAAATTACAAAATTACCCCGCACACGGGCCAAATATTGTAAATTGTTGCGATAACTTGCGTATCGTTTGATCGGTCCCATCGCAATTCAGGGCAAGTTTACTTGCGATGACTTGCGTTCTCGTTTGATCAGGGCTTAAGACTGTCTAACGTCACACGATTTTACTCATTCAGGGGAGAACGCTGGCACTCAATGGGTTAATGAGCCAAATCTCTCTGAATGAAAAATGACTTACAATAGTTGAGATCAAATCCTTTCTGGGCTTTGGCACTCCACAGTCTCATAGTATTTACAGTGTTGTTCATATATCCAGGGATAGGCACATCATAAGGCATAGCATACACTGTATCAGTATCCACCCACTTATAGTGATATCCTTTAGCATCAGACTCAAGACGACCATAGAAATGAACAGGCAGGAGATATTCAGGTCTGGATTTCTCCCAGTGATTGCCATGTTCCAACCAGTGGTCAGGAATTTCCACCTTGTATAATGTACAAGTCAAAATATATTTTAATTCAATTTGGAACAGTGCATGCTTATTTTGCTACAGTTGTGCATGTAGTTACAGTCAAACCCTGTATTAAGCTCGGCGCCACATCTAAAGTCCCAAAAATGTCATAGCTAGTGTAATACTTTTTTCCAGCTTCAAAGGTTTTTCGATATAGCTGGAGCGGAGTTATTTTAATGACAAATTTGTCGCTGTGTGTGTGTGACACTAAATCGTACTGTAATTTCAATTGCATCTAGTTCTGATTAAAACACTTTGGATCATAATTAATAATGTATCCTAAATGTTTTACCGTATCTCTGGTGTAAACAGTTAAGGAAGCTATAGTGGTCTGAAGTACATATTTAGAGCTCCCCTTGAGTGTCAGAGCTGTTTTTGAATAGCTGGAGAGTGAGTAGTCACAATTAGTAAGGTAAGAACTAGCCTAACCCTCCAGCTATTCAAAAACAGCACTGACAGTCTGACACTCAAGGGGAGCTCAGATTGAACTTCCACTCTCTGAGTGTGAGTGAGCTTTTAGAATACAGGTGTTTAATAGTCTTAAGTCTGAAGAATATTTATAGTCTAAAGATCAAACATTTTTACTAATTAGCAATAAAATATCTGGGGTACAGTACCTGTTCTCCCTTTTCATTGATAGTCTGTGTAAAGATGCCATATTCATATCTAATACCATACCCATATGCCGCATAACCTTGAGTGGCCAGTGAGTCGAGAAAACATGCTGCTAGTCGACCAAGTCCTCCATTTCCTAGGAGTGATAACAATTGTTTGAAGGTTGAACAATTTATATACTGCAGTGAGTGGGTGTTGGTCTGGATCAGGGTGTAACACCACTTGGGTCCAAGCAATGATCAACAGGGTTCACTGGCTGGGATTGATCAAGCTTGATCACAGTTTTAAGTTTTCATGGAATAGGGCATGGACTTATCAGCCAGGGCAATGATGCAGCCGGGGCATGTCATCATCACCAAGAGAGGGTACTGATAGCCCACAGTACAGCAGAGCTCTGGGGAATAGCCCAAGGGGGTGGAGGCAATCTTAGATGCTAAGTTTCTACGGAAAAATTGACATCAGTTGCCTGGATGATCAGATGGTTCCCTTAGAAACTTGACTGACTTGCTTTTCTTCTAAAATACAGTATTTGTGCCTTAATTAATTCAATTTAATAAATTGCCTCTAGACGAAGGCGCTCTGGAGGCAGGACGCGGTCCTCTCTGCCCACGTCCGGCCTCCACGACGCCCGTAGCCTGCGTAGCAGTCGCTTTATTTTTTTTATTTTATTTGAGGATATTTTTATTTGAGGATATTTAAATGCGAAAAAAAGAGTGGAGAAAAAAACGGCCAAGGGGAAAAGGGCGAAGGAAAAATAAAGCTTTATTTTTCCTTCGCCGTTTTCCCCTTCGCCGTTTTTTTCCTTCGCCGTTTTATCTCCGCTTTTTTTCGCATTCATTTCTTAAAATATATATCCTCAAATAAAATTTAAAAAATAAAGCGACTGCTATGCAGGCTACGTCCTACGCAGGCTGCGTCCCCACTATGCGGCATAATCTATGCCTGCGTCCTGCCTCCAAAGCGCCCGCGTCCGGCCTCTAGTTAAAAACTGCGTCCGCTTGGACGCAGTCGTCGTAACATAATCGGAAAAACGAACTAATATTTGCATCATACTCGTAGTTTGTCGTGAGAATGCAGATCAGTGTCACTGATCGGAGAAGCAAAGAATAACAAGTTGAATCCGAAAACGAGTTTCATTGAACCTAAGCGTTACATTTAGTATAACCATTTTATAAATGTTATACGTTATACTACAGTAAGCGTAGTGCTTTCACAATGCAATCACACGTACTTGAGTGGCGATTGAAGCGTATATGACTGTATATTGGAGCGTAAAATAGACATAAACTATATATAATGTAGACACATATACTAAACTCAGGGAGATCACGACTACAACGAGTATATATCTCGCAACACATTCATTTGCTACTCAAATTCTGACTTACCTCGTAGAAGGTTGCCGATTAGTTGATATGCAATTCTGTATTTGAATAATGTTACGTCTCCGTAACTCGTCAGTATATCAGAAAACGAAGATGCTCATTTACAATATATATTAATAGTGATATTTGCTGTGTTGGTGTAATGTACTCAGGAGAATAAGATGCTTGTGTGATGTTACTCTGAGTGTATATCCACACCGGGCAGGCTTGAAAAGTGTGCCTGGCCACGGTGGGATTCGAACCTACGACCTTTGGAATACTAGCCCAATGCTCTGCCAACTGAGCTACGCGGTCAGGTCGGTTTGAGTATGCGTAGGTTCGAATCCCACCGTGGCCAGGCATATTTTTTCAAGCCTGCCCGGTGTGGATATACACTCAGAGTAACATCACACAAGCATATTAATACTGCTTTTGATTTTTCATATAAAATACCACTACTACGAGCCACTATATAACTTTATTTACAGCAACAAGTTTTTGTTGTTTTTCCAAAACAAAGAAAATGCACAGGGTGATATGTCATATAAATTGATAATAAATGACTTCTCTTAATCCCTTAATGGAATACCTTCACATGTCCAGGAAACAGTCTTTGTGTTTCAACACGGTTCAATGACTGTGACTCATCACTTGATTTTCAAAGTTCGCTAAAGCTCAGCTCAAGTGAAGAGATCAATGGAGTTATTAGTCAAGCTCTAGACGGATGTATGCCTCTGAAACCCATACGCCTACATCCCATGGATAAACCTTGGATGAATCCGAACATTAAAGCAAAGATTAAGCTTAGACAACGGGCTTTTACTCGTGGCAACATGTCCCAGTATAATCTGCTAAGTGCACAAGTAGAAGATATGATTAGGAAAGCCAAATCAAATTACTATCAAAATAAAGCTAAAACATTCCGCACATCTGACCCTGCGAAATGGTACAAAGCAATTTATAATCTGTCCGGAGTAAGTAGTCAGCACGAAGGCCTAACAGTAAACTCCATGGGTAGCGAGGCTGCTTAAGCAGAAAAATTTCAAATATCCTTTACTGAACCATGGAAAGTCCTAATTACAACAAGTATTCCCCAACTAGATGAAGTTGAGTCACTTCTCAAAAACTATCCTCCCCCTCTACCTAGTATTGGCCAGATTAAGAGCGTCCTAAATCACCTTAACCACTCGAAAGCAAGGGGAGCTGATGGTGTTCCAGCATGGTTACTTAAACGATTCTCCAGCGTTCTAGCGCCGATTGTTCATGACATCATTACGGCTAGCATTAAACAGTGTAAGTATCCAAGTCATTACAAACATGGCCTGGTCACACCTGTGCCTAAAGCATACCCACCAACTGACGTTAGTAACGATTTTAGACAAATCTCTGTTCTGCACATATTGGGAAAATCCTAGAGAGAGTACAATTATAACTCAATCAAAATGACATCATACTACGTCCCAGTAAACATGGTTTTACTAGTGGCCGCTCTACTACATCGGCTCTGATATCCATCACACAGCCATGGTTTAATGCTACTGACAATACCTGCCGTGACAAAGCAGGCATCCATGCCCTCTGTATCGACTTTAAAAAAGCCTTTGATCTAGTTGATCATGGGATCCTGTTGAATAAACTTGCATTGATGAATGTTAATAAAAGCTTCTGGTTGTGGGTCAAAAGCTTCTTATCTGGTAGAACTCAGCAGGTCAAGATAAATCAAACACCTTCATCGATCGAGGGTTGCCCAGCTGGAGTACCGCAAGGATCTGCTCTTTCGCCGACTTTATTTAATATCAACAGGTGGGCAATTTGTCGACGCTGACCAAAAATAGCGGCTCATTTCTTCTCGAGTTGCCATTTTCGCGTCGAAGAGTGAAAAATACAGACTTTCAGAGAATATTTTAGCTGTTTACTATCAAATATGTTTGTGAAACAGTTGATAATCTTACTGAGGAAGGCCAACGGTTTCTGAAAAGCTAAAGTATGTCGAAATCCAGCTTTGGAATAGACTATATTTTCACCTGGGAAACATGAACTAAATGGATATTTACATCAACACTAGATTTTGCTCGTGCCTACAGAGCTAGTTGGATTAAAACAGATGTTAAGAAGTAAGTGAAAATATGAATTTTGTGAATTATATTTTCATTAAAATGTTTCAGAAGGGCTGTTAATGCCAAACTACCAATCTCGTTCCCAGAGTATGCCTGTTCGCGGGTTAGGTTGTGGCATGACTCTGGGGAAATCGAATTTATTTTATCCAAAATGAGATAAATGGCGCATGCGCTTTTATTGCTTATGTTTATTCCGCTTACTAAATTCGCGCGGGCACACGATCACAATCGATATATTTGTTGAACAGGGGCCGGTTGTATCAAAGGCGTTTAACTTAAACGGTGTTTAGCCGCTATCCAGCGTATAAATTTCTTATCCACCGGATAGTTAAACGGCCGATAAAATTGCGTTGTACGAAGCCCGTTTAGTACCGCGTTTAACTATCCGTAGGATAACCTTTAATTTAACTGGCGAAAACCGGATTTTCTTGAAATTTCTTACCTCTACGTCAGCTGTTGCTAGGCCTTTGTAAACTTTTGAAGCTTTATCTAACTTGTGAATTCCACTAAGCTTTTGCAATAAAGTTTGTTGTTGTTTTTATTCGGAGTTTGCTCGTCCATTCGTTGCTGCAAATCTATATCAAACTTTTCATTTTCACATTGTGCTGAGTTTCTCATTCACTTAAATTCACTTACGGATATTTCTTTGAAGATTTTTGGCTTCTTTATGCGAAGAGTCGAAGGCAATAGCAAAAACTGTGAGTTGTATTTGGCTTTTGTCAGTTGATTCAGTTTTATACTGTTTGAAATTTGTTCCTCGACCTTGCACTTTTGTTCAAAACAATTTTAAGAACATTTTGAACCACGTTTTGATTGGCTGATCGAAGCGATTAACGCGAGCGAACAATTTTTTTCGACTTTCGGCGTCTTGTTGTCTATTTTGTATACTTGTTGGCTTTCCAAAGTCATTGTTTGTTTTACAATAGCTAAAATTGCGAGTCTTACTGCTTGTTTTCAAACTATATAATAGAAGAAAAGAAGAAGAAAAAGCCAGAGTATATATACTTTAATAACATCTAAACATGACACTGGTGTGCGTAAATATAGCAA